CATTTAATAATTCAATTAAACATTGTAAATGGAGCATAAGGAGCAATGTTGGCAAAAAATATATATACACACCAAAACACATTTAGATATAATTATGAAAGTTTACAATTTTGATCCATTTCGCACTTAAAGAAAAAGTATTTATTAAAGGAATATCAATTTCATATTTTTTATTTTAATTTTAACATAATCTTTCAAGTATTTCCTCAGGTTATCAACTGAAGAACACGTCCATGTAGGTTTTATGGTAGAGATCCGTGTCATGGAGTGGATGATCTCTAAAGATTCTCTCTACTGTGAAGTCAGTGTGGGTATCTAATAAAATCACACCACTGAGGTCCGCTTACAGCCAACTGGCCTTGGCTCTTCTCAAGCCAGGCCTGTCCTTAAAGTGTGATCAGATGTTGAACTTGTGCAACATTTTCAACAAATGTTTACCTTGGCTAACCCAAAGTGCTGTGTTTCATTTGTGTTGTAGACTTTAGCATCAGGACTGGCCCCGGCACAGCGTGCACTTCACTCCAGTTCTGACTCCATTTTCTGCCCTTGCCACTGGTTTGCACAACGCCATATCATTTGTAGCCTCTGGTACAATTTCCTGTATAGAAATGAAACACAAATGATTAATTTATTTACAAACAAGTCAGTACAAGCTCCAACATCACCAAGTGTATAAAAAAAATTATATCTGACCTGTGTCCTTGGCCGGTGCCAGATCTGCAGTGAACTGGTGCATGACAGAGGTAAATTCACTTTCTTTAAACCCAGAGAAGTGTAGTGAGCAGTTTGAAACAAGTGCCACAGGGCTTTCCCAGCTGAGCAAGAACAGATCATGTGCTTCAGGTCTACAGGAACCACAGCAGAGTCAAGTGTAACCTGTTAATAAGGACGTAATAATTGTTATTGCTAGCATTATTTTATGAGCTATTTTATACAGCCAAGTCTGAAACTGCAGCAAAACAAACAAAAAGAAAACTTTACCCTCAAATCACAACATTTGATAAATATTTTTTTAGATATTAAATAGTTTTATTTTATATTTCTATTTTAGTAATGAATGTTATTTTGTTTTTACTGTATGATGGGACTACAGATGTAAATTAGTCTTAGGCTAATGC